GACCTTCTAACTATGAGGGTTCTTGAGATCCTAATATTGGCCCGCTTAAAAAAACAGCCGGTATAGATTATAATGATTGGTAATAAGCACTGACGAATATATCTGTATATTGTATAACTTCAGAGAAATTGCGAATCCTACCCAACGTTGAACATTTTTCAAAAAATAATTTTAAACGAGAGGAAACGAGAGCTGGTTTTCTAGATTTTCCATCTCCTAGTTTAGCAGCTACATCCTTAGAAACGTTGAGCATATAGCCCAAGGCTCGTTATAACAGTCTTCGAAGATAGGGTCCATCTTTCCATTCTCCATCATCTAAATATCTGAGAAACGCCCCAGGTCGCACTCATCACCGTTATATACATAAAGAATCCATACGAAATTCGTATTTAAATTGCACCGGATATTTTCTTTTATCGGCGCTCGACTCTCTACTGTTTTATTTGAGTTTTATTCACAAACGGCATATTTGTATACCCGACTATACGTGTATGTTGGCTTTCGTCAAGCAAATACGTTTAGATAAAAACGTCTTTGTTACTGAAGCCATGAAAACTCTTTACAATATTTTCAATCTTTTTTTAGGAAAGTGTGTAATGGAATAAGTATTTTCTTCGGGTTTCTCGTTGTCAAAATATTGTAATCAGGTTAGACTAATTTGTTGTTTTATAACCCAAAATCAATACTCCTGACCGCTCTGCATTGAATGATTCCGTACAGTCCATCTCGTCTTGTGTTTGTAAATCTTTTGCTGGAAAAATCCTCACTTGTTTACTTTGCAGTAAATGTTCAAGAGATAGTAAAAACTTGTGTGAATTTCTGAAACTTCATGGAATTTTTAACAGTTGATGAACGACTGTACTGCCAAACATGACTGTTATAAGGAAACAAGTATAGCTGAGGCACCAGCCAATCTAATAATAACACTGATGATCTACAAACAAGACTCAACCTCTGACGGAAGCAAGAAACTCATTCGAAGGTTCGAAATAGATGAACATTTAAATCTAGCAGAACACTATTATAATATTCATGCAGTCATTGTTCACTGTGGTTCTGGCGTTGAATTTGGTCTTTATTACGCCTTGGTCAAAGACGAAACGGACTGGTTTAAGTTTGACGATACCCGTGTCACGAAGTGTTCTGGCGATGTATTGAATCTATTGGAGCATCTGGAGACACCCTACATTTTCTTTTATGAGAGAGAGGACATTGGCAGATCAAGATCTTCAGACGATGTGGTGCTGCAGGTTTTTCTGGGTTTTCCTGCAGCTGAAAGAGCAAATGCGTCATTGGAATCAATGAAGTCGCCCCGGAGCGCCAATTAATTTTTATTTTTGTTTTTATTTTTACCGAAAAATGTATGTTCCTATTATAACCTTTGAAATTCTCTTGGTAGCTGTTTCTCAATTTGTGGATTCCGCTTAATAGTTTATATTTTTAATCGACTGAGTAGTATTTATTAGAAAGATTAGATACGTTCCAAAACATTTTTGAGGTACCGTTTCTACGGTCGTCTATGTCACCTCTAGAGTCTGATGGCATATTTTGAAAATGAAATATACATAATAAAAAAGCGGTTTCATAAGATTTTAATGCACAGGATTGAGAACAGAAACATGAGATTGATCTTTAAGATCAACGGATTTGTAGCCCCATGATTTCTTTTTGTGAGGATACCTTGAAAGTGAAATTTTCCGAATAGAACCAACGCCTCAAGAATAATTACGACGAATTGTCGACACGGGCCCTCGAATCACTCCAAAAATGTTTCGGAATGTGTGAGAATGAATATAATCTTTATTTTCAATCATTATGTATTAAGTAAGCATCTCGACAAATTAAATTTCAGACTAGGTATATATGGCAAAAATAATTTGTTGGAAAATATTCCTATAGTGGTCGTTTGAATTTATATTTAAAATGCTTGCAACGTTATTTTTTTGATTATTTATGCATAAATACCTATTACATGAAGCACGCTTTACGTTTGATTACATTTTTAGTGTATCTTATAAAATTGAATATTCGCAAAAATCTATATATTTGTGAAAGGCAGGCCTGTTACTTTAATCTCACCCTCCACGAATATAGATACATTCTAAAAAAGTTGTTGACGCAACCGAAATTTGACTCCAGTTTACATCGTCATAACTTTTAACGTAAAAGTCCGATTGTATTGATTTTTTTAAAATGAGTAAGCTCACTTCCACGGTTTGATTGTTGAATCACGCTTAAAAACATTTCACATCCTGAAAACACTTTTGTTAAAATCTGTTTTTCCGTTAACCAGCTGTGGCACCCCTACGAACGACAACTTTAACTACTAACGAGCTAAGACAGTCTTTGTCTACTAAATTATTCGGTATTTTAAAATATTAGAATTGTCTAACGTGAAAGGAAAAAAATATTGAAAATGATACTTATGACATATGATTGGTGTGAAAAGGATATTCACAAATATTAATATGCCACACGTATATATGCGAATTAGATCGATTTTTTCCGATTACTAAAATAAAAATAAAGTTTACTTTTAATGATCTCCTGATGATACTGGCTCGCTAATTAAGGAGCTAGGTACTATAATTGTTTGGCTTGAGATGTTCTGGTTTTTAAGGGGAAATTCTGTGAATCATTTTATAACGCAATAAAGATTATAAAATCTTGTGCATTTACTACCATAATATATGATCCATGAATCATTTTTATTAACATTTTTAACTTTCACTCTCCGAAGATTATTTCCCTTTTTTTTCCAAGAAACTGGTTTACCTTCACCAATATTATTCATGCGAACGATATTAATGTTTTTCTGAATTTTTTTAAATTAATACATCACTTACCAAGAAAGTGAATGGTAATCAAAAAGATGCCGCTCTCTGGAAATTGAAAATTTCAGTTAATAATTTCTCTAAAAATTAGACAGGAAATGTGCGTTGTGCTTTTCTTAATTGGCATAACTTGACGGAAGCCTTTGACATTCTTGTACACTGCAATAATAATATATCCAAAGTGACGTTACGGAACGTGCATAATTACATGTAAATGCAATAAACAATACTTCGTGGAAAATATTCGTTATAAATTGCTCCATTCAAATGCCACTTACTAAGGAGTTGCGATCTCACAGTTGCCAGATGAATATTGTAAAATCGGACTTTCCTCATTAACATTTTTTTATTGATATGCATCATTTCAAACAGTCATTTCAAATTACCCACTCAGACAAATACTAATAGTTCGGTCATTTGTTTTAATGACTCGCCCACTTCCTGTTTTTGCTCATCTTGCAGAAAGAAAATATATTCAATAGCAGTTAATAATGTTTAAGAGCTGAGAAATACAAAGAACAGAAGTATATCAAAATTGATGTCATTGAGAGAGAGAGAGAGAAAACATATTGAAATTTTTTAATAGCAGTTAATAATGTTCATGAGCTGAGCAATACAACGAATAGAATTATATCAAAATTGATGTCATTTCAAATAAATATGAACTTATTGTAAAGAACATTTGTAATCAAAGACTTAAATGGTTTATTTGCTGATTGAATTGCAGCCAGCTGAATTTTTCACTAGACCCTAATTTCATCATGAACAGGGACTTTATTCAGGCACTTTTCTCAAAAACCAGAACTACAATACTTTTTGTGACGCGGGTTCGATCGGAGTCTTCATCTCCTGAAGACTGTGTATGATATAAATCAAAAGGGAAAATTTGTGGACAGAACACTCAAAAAATGGAGGCAAACCTCCAGCTGTTACTAGGAAGGCAAGAACTCAATTGATATTTTATGAAAGTTCTCAGTAGTTTCGAAAAAAGTGATGAGAACAGCTCTTATTTAATCATTTTGGACGAAATCTACAAAAAGAAATATTTCACAAATCTATTATAAAACCGATTTCTGTAGAAAGACCTATATCGTGCTGAAAGCAGAGTGTTCAAGAATAAGGAATGACCAAATATCAATAAAAAATTAATATTCAACAAAAGTCATTTTATAGGAAGGAAAGCAACGTTTTTCGTAAACTTTTTTGAGTATTTTCACCTTCCAAAATCTGAAAAAAATTAAAATTGCAATGGAGGACTTTATACAGGTGTGGAAAGTTCAAACTTTTACTAAACCCCGATAAATATTCTCTTCATCAGTAAAAATATTCAGAATTTACGCAGTAACTTATCGGGATGGATAAGAAGATTGCCTTTTCTATATCTGTTTAAACTTCTCCATTATAATCTTTTTTTCAGATTATGACAGGTGAAAATAACCGAAAAGGTTGATGAAAAACAGAATATTAACATATAAATATTATCCAACAATACAAATTGAAAATATGAAAGGGTTAGGGTTAGGTTAGGGAAAATTTGTGGACCGAACACTCAAAAAATGGAGGCAAACCGCGGACACGTGTTTCTGGCTATTGGCCTCATCAGCGCGGTGCAGCCAATTGCAAAGATGGACAACAACTGGTTACCAAAAATGAAAAACTTCACATATGTGAAATATTTCTTTGTGTAGATTTCGTCCAAAATGATTAAATAAGAGTTGTTCTCATCACTTTTTTCAAAACTACTGAGAACTTTCATAAAATATCAATGGAGTTCTTGCCTTCCTAATAACAGCTGCCCGTTTGCAATTTTTATTTCCCAAAGTTCCTCAACTTTTTCCTCTGAGAACAAAGAAGGTTGCAATAGTACTTAGTTAGTTGCAATTTATCGGAAAGTTGATATAACTCGAAGACAATGTAGCAAATTGGAAGTGTTGTGAAGAATACAAAATGAAATCAAGACTCAAGCTGATTACCAATTCCCCTTTTTACTGAATAGTTCATCCCAATTAAAAACACCATCAACGTGAAGTAATGAATTCAAATCTCGCCTAACAAACGCTCTCCGAACATAAAATTAAACTTCCAATGTAACAAACTCCTCCAACGAAAACACTTTCAGCACTCATTTCGGTCGTCTTCTAATTATTCACTTTTTTTTTCTTACAGATTTCCACCGGATTTGGCGAGCCTTTCAATCCCCGTAGAATAAAACCTCGTGAAAGTTTCAATTAAGACGAAGTGCCGGAACTGAACCTTTAAAAAAATAAACACACGGCACAGCACTTTGACACCATGCGGGCGACTTCATTGCCGTTCGTGATGGGGTTCAGTTGGGTGTTGTTGGCGGCGGTCGTTCTGGCGGCGGCCGGAGATGTGGCGCATCTCTCCTTCTCCGGATCGAGATGTCCCAGGGCGTGTTCTTGTGTGGGGACGACGGTAGATTGCTCCAGGAGGGGTCTGACTGCGGTGCCGAGGAACATTCCTTTGGATACTGAAAGACTGTGAGTATCTCATTATATGTACTTCTATGGTTGAAGGAATTTACTTTTTTGTCAACCGAGGATGAACCTGTAAGGACAGAATCCCAGACATACGTTGTCTGGCAAACACTCGTTTTTGTTTTGTACTTCTCCATCAGTCATAATAATAATATGCTTTCATGTATTAAGGTAGCTCAAATACGAAGTTAAGATATATCTGCACAAATATAGACATGCATTAAACAATTTTATCCAAACACATACAAAACATACGTTGAATCTGTAAGGACGGAATCCCAGACATACCTAGTCTGGCAAAAACTCGGTTTGGTTTTGTACTTCTTCATCAGTCATAATATTAATAATATGCTTTATTGTATTAAAATAGGTTGAATACGAAGTAAATATATATCTGCACAAATATAGACATACATTAAATAATTATATCCAAACACACACAAAGAGAGATATTATACACTAAAGAAACAATACTAGAAAAGTTTCAAATATTAATAATGCAGTGTAGTATACTTTGTCTATATATTAAAAAAAGAAGATTGAATAAATTAAAAAAAAACTGCCCTCGTAGAACTCTTCTAAACTATAATAGGATCTACCACACAATACATCTTTTACTGATTTCCGAAATTCACAGTTATCATCTGAAATTTCAATATGTCCAGGTAAACGATTAAACATCTCAAGACCATTATATTATACGGAGTCTTTGACTAGAGTAGAGGCTGGTATGGGTCTTTAGCTTGACGAAGGGCATAATTACGAGTATTGGAGTAGCCGCTAAATATCAGTTCATGTTTGTTGATCAAACATACTGTTTCTAAATTTCTAAATTTCAAAATTGTATGAAGTTCAAACAAGGGTTTGCAGGAGTCTTAACTTTTGGCATTGCACATTAATCTTACAGCCCTTTTCTGAATTATGAAATTGAGTTTTGCATTATACTCCCCAGAAAGAAGTGTAATTTCTAATGAGAATCAATGAGGGAGAAATAAGCCGATTCAACTACAGACAAACCAAATTCTAAGTTATTCTCACTGAAAAACACCTAGCTTTTTATTGAAGGTTCTGCGAATTTAGGTTTATTGTCAATTTTTGACACACAACAGTGGCTACAGCTGTAACAAAATGTAAAAGCGTCTTCAATAATGTAGTGTTGTCATATCTACAAATCGTCATAATAACGACTTCTTGCATGTTTTCAAAATTAACACCGCGTGAGAAGGGTGTGCTTCCATCAAAAACACGTTTCAGAAAGGTTTGTTGTGTAACAAGGTCAAATTTATTTCAGAAAAACAATTATTTTTTGCTAACGTTTCGAAATTGAATAAATTCTTCTTCAGGGCTCGGAAAGGAGTTTTTCCTTGTTGAAACTATGACTGAATTCGAAAATCATCGGACCTGCTAGACATATATGAGAAATAAAAAACACTATAGCAATTAAATATTTAAAAGCAACACAAAACAATGACATGTGTACACAACACAATGACATGCTTCATGTCATTATGTTGTGTTGGTTTTAAATATTTTCTTTGCTACAATGTTTTTTATTCCTCTTATATGTCTAAAACGTCCGATGATTTTTAAATTTAGTTTTAACATGGAAAACTCCTTTTCGAACCCCGAAGAAGAATTTAATTAAATTCGAAACGTTGGCAAGAAAACAATTGTTATTCTGAGATAATTTGATCCTTTAACCCACGAATCTTTCTTAATATTGTTTTATAATTTGTCTGAAAAATTGAAATGATGGTGGTGACCAGACTACAAGGAAAAGTTTATTCGAATTGAATTGACCCTTTGTTTCGCACGAGAACAAAAATTTTCAATTATATTAGTGATTCACAATCCTCTAAATCAACTACGGGCATGTAATTTTCCTCCGTACGCCCGTTCCCGTTGTTTCCGGTTATAGAAATATTAGTACAAATCCACAGATGAATAATGATAACATTTCCAGACGAGAACAGGCGACCGGAGCATTTCTCGGCATATGCACCTGGCCGGTGCATATCAATCCGTGTCAAAACAATTTTTGCAACAGACATATAACAAACGTTTCTGTCATATTTCTAAACCGCTAACAAATTGTATGGAAACAGAATCCGACTACTATTTTTAGTTGTTTAATTGGACAAAAAACGAAAAAAAGTCGGAAGATTTATGACGTTCCCGTGCAGAGAGCGTTTGTTTCCGCCATAATGTACGGGGATTAGTATTTTCAATTTGTTCAACGCTGATCCTTTAATACGGGGTTATAGAAATTGGGTTGTACGATGTACACGAAGATATCCATATCTCCACGCCCGTGGAGACACGATATCGGGATTTGGCCACCCTGCAATCTGGCAACTGACAGCTCTATTGTAAAGTTGGACATTTTTGAGCTTATACGTACTCAAAACGTTTTGACATACACGCGCTATTTGTGTTGTTTACAGTAACTCAAATGATTCAACTCGGCCCAAAAATGAAATTAAATCGTGAACATTTTCGTGTGAATATTTTTTACAACTTTCGACGTGGATTAACTCAGCAACAGTGCATGGATGAACTTAATTCAATTTTTGGCGATGAAGCTCCATCAAGGACCAGTGTTTATCGATGGTATGGTGAATTCAATCGTTGTCGTAGTTCAATCCAAGACGAATTTTGAGAAGGTCGTCCAAAATCAGTTGTTCCGAAAACCATCGATGCTGTGCGCGAACTGATATTGCAAGATCGTCATATGACCTATCGTGAGATTGAGACAACCTTAGGCATTAGTGGGACCAGCATACATTCAATATTGCATAAATATTTGACTGTCAAAAAAATTTGTTCGCGTTGGATCCTACACAATTTGTCAATCGGTCAAAAAAAAGCTCGTGTCGATTGGTCGAAGGAAATGCTCAAAAAATACGATCGCGGTGCTTCGAAACACGTCTATGACATCGTAACAGGCAATGAATCGTGGATTTACGCATATGAGCCCGAAAGTAAACAGCAGTCTACTGTATGGATGTTTCAAGATGAGCCAAATCCAACAAAAGTTGTTCGCGCACGAATCACTTCCAAGAAAATGGTCGCCTGTTTTTTCGGAAAAACTGGACATGTCGCAACCGTACCACTATAACAACGCAGAACAGTCAATTCTGAGTGGTACACAACCATTTGTTTGCCAGTTGTCTTCTAAGAAATCAGGAAAACCAACCGTCGAAGACGGATCCCTCTTCACCACGACAATGCGAGCTCTCACACATCGGCTCAAACAACTGCATTTTTGAGCACCCAAAACATCGATTTGATGAGTCATCCGCCGTATAGAGTGGCAAAAGTGCTTCGACAATTGGTTCAAATGAATGCAAAAGTGAATAGATATTCATGGGGAAAAACAATAAAGTGATTTTCGATGATTAGTATTTGTTTTTGTTCTCTAATCCCGAAATATAAAAGGCAACCCTATGACTGCGCCAACAGTTCGACTTGAAAATATTTCATTCATATATTTATTAACGGGAAACTCTTATTATGTTTGAGGAGAATGAGAACTGCTTTGCAACAAGTATTTTGTTTCTGTGGTTTTAATTGAGGAATTTTCATCATTCTACTCAAGAAATTTATATGAGAAGGTGTCTGAGGAAGAACTTTTCCAAGGTGATATTTTAACACCAAAATGTATAGGTTTATATAGCTCCAATAATATTCATTCTGTTAGTAACCTGTGAATATCAGTCATGTAAATCGTTTTTGCCTGAGTGATGAAAAATAGTCATGCAGAAAATAAAAGTCATATTGAAAACTGCTACAAAAAGTTGCTGATTAGAAACATCCGGTGGATTATCAATTTTCTTGGTTTCAAATCTGAGCGAATTCAAATGCTGCCAAACAAAATCTGTTCTTTCCTACTACACATTGCTTTGAATTTTATCGTAAATCTGTGTCAAGAAAAGTAAGAGCCACATTTTGTCGTTTCAGCATACCACAAATCCACTCTTTTGTACCAAAAATATTCTCCGAATATCGCAACAAAGAACTAAAGAAGTAAAAAAAAGCTGTAGCTGAAATGAATAATAAAACAAAAGTTTCAACAGCAACCAAAACTACCGAAGCTGACAGAAAACAGATAGGAATTCAAGTGTGACCTGAAACTGAGATAAAGGGTCTACTTGCAGACCTTATAGACACTGATTCGCTGCATTGGAAAGACCGTACCCAAGAGGAATACACCAACAAATGACGCATTCCTATGTTCTGATAATCCGAAAATTTTGCTGAAAACTGGATAATAGGGAAAAATATCTCCAAGTTCATGCACAACTGGTAGCTGAAATTCACTTTGTCATCAATAGATAGATAACATTTTCGTTAAAATGGGCATTGATAAATCTGCAGACTTGATTGAACAAGACTTTGTCATAATATGACCTAGTAAACTACACTCATAATTTAGTGATGAAATCATTTCAAAGTTGACACATACATAGATGTAACCGAAGAAAATACTTCTTTAGGGAAACAACAGAAAATTCTCCTTAATGCTGTTTGATATTCCATCTGTCAGAAATAAATCAGATGAACTATATTATTTTACTGACTGAACACTGGCTGAGAGAAGATGAAACATTTTCTCCAACAAACTATACAACATTTTCCAAATTTAGGCGAAAATATATGTCCGATAAAATCCTGATAAAAGATCAGTTCTCTATTATTCGTACATATTTCAAAATATGTCAATATCTTGTTGGAGAATGTATTTGAATTATCTCTTAGCTGCAAAAATGTCATTTCAGATCTCAAAACTTTCATTCTCAAAATTGAAAATTTCAAAAGGTACCTGTAGAAAATTTCAATGTTGCATTCCCCGTTCAGAAAATTAAAGTCACAAAGAAAAATCATTGGTTAACTATAGAAATGAAAAATTCTGCAAGAAATCTGGATCTCGGCATCTAAAACTGGATATGTGCTACATGTTCTATGGAACGAGTTTTAATAGCTAGTTTACTCTGACC